GTGGAGCAGCGAGAGAGCGACTGAGAGAGGAACGAGGCAGACACCTGAGGGAGGGAGGGAGACACCTGAGGGAGGGAGGGAGACACCTGAGGGATGGGGCTGAGGGAGGCAGGGCCGAGGCGCTCCCTGAACTTGGTGGTTTGCTGGCAGACGTTTTATTACCCGACTAGGTAACAACATCAGATGTTACCTAGTCAGGTAATGAAACGTCTGCAAGCAAACCACCAAACTCGGATTCTCCCCCCTCCGCCCGGTCCTTGAAAAAGTGTTTGTGCTTGAAACTGGTCCCTGGTACAAAAAAGGTTGGGGACCACTGCACTGCATGAATGAATCTCTTATTTTCTGCTTTACCTTAGCTCGAAGAGGCACGATGCGAGATAAAAGACCGATTAAGATGTCGGTATAGACGCTCCTCTCGTGGGCTTCGTCCAGAATGATGACGTGGTACTTGGATAACAAAAAATCCTGAAAAAAATTAAGACGTGAAAGAACTAGGCAATAAAAACCAAAAGTACACATATAGACTGGGTAAAACCAGACCTAATAGCAATAGTTAACTGTGAGAGATGCCTTGGGTTCCTAGTGGACAACCAGCTAATAATGAGCCAGCAATGTGCGGTGGCAGCCCAAAAAGCCAATGCAATCTTAAGTTGCATTAACAGAGAGATACAATCAAGATCAAGGGAGACAGACAAACTATAGGCTAACAATGTTGGTCTCTTACAAAGAGAACTTCTATAAAATGTTTCATTGCTGGCATTTACTGCCACCGAGGTTAGCCAAAATGTTCCCTAACGTGACACCCAACTGTTGGAAATGTAATTATAATCAGGGAACATATTTCCACATGTGGTGGACATGCCCTCATGCACAAAAATATTGGAAAAAAAACAGAATATGGATAGAGGAATTAACAAAACAGAAAGTAAAATTCAAACCAGATTTTTTTTTTAATTGGGCATGTTAGAACCAAATATGAATAAGAAGCACCAATACTTGATTTTGCATATCAGAACAGTTTTGCTCAAAATTGGAAATTGGCTATGACTCCTTCAGAAAATATGATAATCAATAAGATACATGAATGTGCCAAGATGGATAGACTAACCAAATTGTTAAAAGACAACCAGTGAATATTATAAGACAACCAGTGAATATTATAAAATATGGGATATCTGTTACGACTGGCTAAAGAAAAGGTTATATCTGATGACCTGGTAACATTTTGGGAAATAAGGGTGACGTGTAAATAAATGTAAATAAACTATATGTATACATATATGGAATTTAAAATGACGAAGCAGTTATTATGACAATGTATAACACGCTATCAGAAGGAAAGTACAAGTGTATCTACTGCTCAAACAACGCTGTAAAATGTATATATGTTTTTAATTTCATAAACGTTGAATAAGTATATATTAAAAAAAAAAAGATCAAGGGAGGCACTAATCCCACTCTACAAAGCCTTAGTAAGATCACACCTAGAGTACTGCATCCAGTTTTGGTCACCACACTCTTAAAAAGATGTTGAGACAAGCCAAGTCAATGAGCGAAGCTGGATTTGCTTAATGACTATATGATTCAATTAACAACTGCACTCATCTGTTTAACAATCATACTAAAAAAATTAAAAGGATGCAAAATTGGGTGTGACTTGTTTAAACCCCCCCTGGCTTAGCAATAGAAATTCTGGCCCCAATGGTGGCCGTAAGTTGAAGACTACTTGCAATACTCTTGGAAATTTCAAGGCGTTTTAAGAAAGAATAAAAAGAAATAAATCTTCCCTGCTCTTTTGTTTCATTATTGGGGAGGAAGCAGAGATTATCTGACTCCCCAAATCCCTTCTCAAACCGGCTAAAGCAGGGATTTCCAACCTTGGTAATTTTAAGACAACTCCCAGAATTCCTGGCTGAGGAATTCTGGGAGTTGGTCTACAAGTTTTAAACTGGCTTGGGGAATTCTGGGAGTTGAAGTCAACAAGTCTTAAGCTGTCTGAGGAATTCTGGAAGTCCACAAGTCTTAAAAGTTGCCGAGGTTAGAGAGCCCTGTGCTAAAGCAAGAAAATGTTCCGTGTGTACGCGCATTCTTCTAAAAATCAATTTCCATCCCACATTTCAAAAGAGGAAACTATAAAAAGTCCTCACCTTCTGGATTTCTTTCAACAGCACACCATCTGTCATGAACTTGATTTTCGTCTCCTTTGTCACATTCCCCTCATAACGGATTTGGTAGGAAATCACACTGGGACAGAGAATGTGAAAACACAAAACTGAGATGACATCATTTAAACCCATCTCGCTGGATGTATTTAAGGCAAATGGAAACGGCAAATAAATGCGTAAAGAACATTAGGCTCATGACCTCCAAACACCGAGAATGCATTTGATTGGATCGAGTTAGTCAAAATAATAACAATAGCAATAGACTTATATACTGCTTCACAGTGCTTTTACAGCAGTTTACAGAGTCAGCCTCTTGCCCCAACAATTTGGATCCTCATTTTACCCACCTCGGAAGGAGGGAAGGCTGAGTCAACCTTGAGCCAGTCAGAATTGAACTGCTGACAGTGGGCAGAATTTGCCTGCAATAGTGCACCATCTAACCACTGTGCACCATGGATGGATGGGTGGATGGATGGAAGGAAGGAAGGAAGGAAGGACGGAAGGGCAATAGCAATAGTATTTATATACTGCTTCACAGTGTTTTACAGCCCTTTCTAAGTGGTTTACAGAGTCAGCCTCTTGCCCCCAACAATCTGGGTCCTCATTTTACCGACCTCAGAAGGACAAAAGGCTGAGTCAACCTTGAACCTGGTGAGATCTGAACTGCCGAACTGCAAGCAGCCAGCAGTCAGCAGAAGTAGCCCTGCAGTACTGCATTCTAGATGCCAGAACTTGCAATGTTTCTATTTCAACAGAATTCCCCGCCCTCACCCCGAATAATATCTGAAACCAGGATTGGAAAGAGGCCATCCTTACTGTTGGGATAAATTCATTTCTGCTGCAACTCGCTGAGACATAGATATCGCTGCTACACGCCGAGGTTCTGTAATCCCAATGATGCCACCGGTGCTACAAACAGAATTGAGGTGAGACTTTAGTGAATTAGTTAAGAGAATGGCAACTTTACGATGTGTGGACTTCAACTCCCAGAATTGCCTAGCCGCCTGAGTGGGCTTCACTTTGCAGAATTCCATAGGCAGCACGGATGGACTTCAACTCCCAAGAGTTTGGCTGAGGAATTCTGGGAGCTGAAGAAATCCGTGCCTGTTTAAAGTTGGTAAGCTTACGAAAAAGACTGGTTTAAAATAATTACTTGTACCAGAGCTTTACGGAAATGAAGGCTTAAAGCCAAAGTATGTATGAGCTATTGTTAATTGATGGTTGGAAACTAATCAAGGAGAGAAGCAACCTGGAATTAAGGAGGAACTTCCTCACAGGGAGGACAATTAACCAGTGGAACAGCTGGCCACCAGAAATTGTGGGCGCTCCATCACTGGAGATTTCTAAGAAGAGACTGGATAGCCATTTGTCTGAAATGGTATAATGTCCAGTTCGTCCCTTCCAGCTCTGTTCTAATTCTGATTTTATTCTAGCAAGCTCAGACAGGTAATCCCTGATTTATGGCAACTGAGCCCCAAATTTCTAAGTGAGACATTGGTTAAGTGAACTTTGCCCCATTTTACAAACTTTCTTGCCCCGGTTGTTAAGTGAAACACTGCAGCTGTTAAATTAGTAAAACAGTTGTTGAGTGAATCTGGCTTTCCCATTGATTTTGCTTGTCAGAACGTCGCAAAAGGGGTTCACATGATCCTGGGACAGTCATAAATATGAACCAGTTGCCAAGCATCCAAATTTTGATCACATGGCCATGGGGAATGCTGCCACGGTCATAAGTGTGAAAAACGGTCCTTGTGATGACCCAAAGGGGCGTGGCACAAAGGCAACACAGTCAAATAATCAAGAAGAGTCCCTTTATTATCTCCAACTTTGCCCCTAATGTTGAGGTTAGGTTCTGGCTGGAGAAAAACTCTCCCAGGAACAGCCTTTGACTGCAGAAAATTAAGTCCAAAACAGGGTAAACACAAACTGTAACTTAAAAGTCCAAACAAGCCAAACTTAAGCAATTAGTTTGGCAGGGCAGGAACAAGAAATTCAAACTTGAAAGCACGGCAAAACTCAGAAGATGCCAGGAACAGATAAGCCATGATGATACAAGATAAATTCACGTTTGTTCCCAGCAGCTGCCGCACTCAGCATGCATTTCTTATAAACTTTCTTCCCAGGTGTGGCTAATGAAGGGAATCAGGGCCCTTTCCTCCCCCGTAAGCCACGCAACACACGTTGCTCTCTCCTCTGTTCCTCCCTGTGTGCCCTAGGATGAAGAAGGAGCGGGCCTGGGTCTTCCTCTGAACTCCCTCTCCCTTGTTCTACCTCTTCCCTGCTCTGCCCAGCTGGACTTTGACCTTCTCCAGTTTCCTCCACAGCCAACGGAGCCACACTCTCACTCCCTGTCATTTGTTTGGCTTCCTCCTCCGAGTCAGACTCTAACAGGGGCATGACACTCTAAGTTACTGTTTCCGGTGCCGCTGTAAGTTTTGTAACTTTGAACGGTCACTAAATGAACTGTTATAAGTTGAGGACTTCCTGTCCAAGGGGCTGCCTTAGAAGCCCCCATATTCATACCTCGCGTAGCCTGCTTCATAGAGGAACTGAGGCACTTGTGTAGTTTTCCCGCAACCTGTTTCCCCGCATATGATGACGATGGGATTCTCCCGCACAGCTTCCATTACAACCTGCTCTTCTCCAAGAATTGGGAGTTTCAACCTGGCTTCCTTTGACAAACAAAAACAAAGAGAATATTTACAAAAACAAAATACGTTAGGATTTTGGCTATAATGTGACGCTTGAGCAATGGAGAAAATAGACGGACGAAGAGTTTAAAATTATAACCTAAAAGAAAACTTCTATAAGATGATGTATGGCTGGTATTTTAACACCACCTAAATTACCTAAGGTGCATAAAGGTATGTCAAAGAAATGTTGGAAGTGTAAAAGCAAAGAAGGGACTTTTTATCATCTGTGGTGGACATGTGATAAAGCCAAAAAAAAAAAAAGGAGTACGATTCATATTTTAATACAGAAAATTTTGAAAATGAATGAAAATGATTGGACACACAAGGAATTTGTCTTTGGTGCATGTGCTCTCAGTGTACATAAAAGAAACATTCGTCAAGAATCATAAGGTACTCCTATCCTCAAAACGAGGCTATAGAGCACTGCACACCAGAACAACTAGACACAAAG